CACAGTGAGAGTGATTTATTTGAGCGCTATGAGAAAAGATTTAAGGTACTGAGAAAGAAAGTATTTATTGATACGTGATTGCAAATCATATTGTATATTATAACAATGCATTGATTACATGTTTGTTTGATTGTTTCAGGGATCTTTTCTTGTCTGAATATGTTTAATAAAAAAATCTGATAAATGTTTTCATTAATTTGAAGTGTTTGTTTTATAGTGGCCCATATTTTGGGTACCTATTCCATATTTACGTGCCTTTATGCTTAGTTTGTTATTGAGAAAATATTATACTTTAAATTAATATGTATTGTGCAACTGTGTGACTGATAATAACTAATAATAGAAATTTCAAAGTCCTCAGGGTATGATGTTATAACGTAATTGTATTAAAAATATGAGTAAAAGTAGAAAAAAAATTGGAATAAATCCCAAACGATTAAAAATAGGCATATAACACACTTAAGTAAAGTTGAAGAGTTTTGTAAAATCTATCAGAAAAAATGATAATATATAGGGTGTCCCATTTAAAAAATTTATGATTTTTTATTTTTAAGTAGTTGAAATTCATAAATATATTTTGTACACCCTGTATTATTCAACTAAAATATCTTTCATACATTTTTTTCATCTCTATAAAACTCTCTTACCAAATTTTGGCATTCCAACTTCAGAAACAACGTAATGACAATTTTTTACCACACTGCAATTTAACATTTGTTTAAATAAATTTAAATATTACAAAAACTATTAATTTTAGGTATATAACATTATCTATATTATATAAAATCCTTAAGTGACTGACATACTGATTAATCACGATCCTGCTCAAACCACTCAACGTAAGAAGCTCAATCTTGGCGTATAGGTTGATTCTAGGGTGTAGGTTCGATAAGAAGGGATTTTTCGAAATTCCAGTTCCAATAGGGTGAAACCACCCCTCAAATATTATAATATTTTTTATTTAAAAAACGGTCAAGTTTCCGAAAAAACGCTTAAACACGTATATTTTATTTTGTTTTTTTACATATTTTAAGATTTTTTAAAAATGTATACAGGGTGTTTCGAAAAATTTGGTCATTGATTAATTACGATCCTGCTTAAAGCGCTTGACGTAAGAAGCTGATTTTTGGAAAACGGATTGACTTTAGGGTGTAGAGGTTCGACAAGAAAGGATTTTTCGAAACTCGAATTCTAAGGGGGTGAAACTAATCCCTCAAATATTAAAATATTTTTTATTTAAAAACCGGTGAGTTTTTCGGAAAAACTCTTAAACACGTTAAGATTTTTTATAAATTTATACAGGGTGTTTCATAAAATATGACCATTGAGTAATCACGATTCTGCTTAAACTGCTTGACGTTTAAAGCTGATTTTTGGCAAACGGATTGACTGTGGGGTGTAGAGGTTCGATAAGGAGAGGTTTCTCGAATCTCAAATTCCAAGAGGGTGAAACCGCCCCTCAAATATTACAATATTTGTTATTTAAAAAACGGTTAGTCTTTCGGGAAAACGCTTGGACAAGCATAATTTTAATTTTTTTTCATATTTTGAAATTTTTTAAAAAATCATACAGGGTGTTCCAAAAAGTTGGGTAATTTCTTAACCACGATTCTGCTTAAACTGCTTGACGTAAAAATCTTATTTTTGACAAACGGATTTTTCGAAAGTCAAATTCCAACGAGGTGAAACTACCCCTCAAATATTACCAAGTTATATAATAATATCGCCACAGGGTTTTTTCTCATGCTGATATAAATGTGAGAAAATTTTATCCAGTTTGTATGTTAATGGAAATTCTTGCTTTGCTTTATCATCACCATTACAAATGATTAATTCGACGCGAAGGAAGTCGCTGGTACACGCTAGTACATATATAAAAAAGTTATGAAATTTTGCGCAGAATCTAAAAATAAAATAAAAAATAGGGTGTTGCGTTTAAAAAACATATGTTGTATTCGCCACACTTTTTTGAAGCACCCTGTATACTCTATAATAATTTTAAAATATCCCGATAACTTTTATATTAAACATTTTTTCGTAAACCTCGAAACAAATGAGATAATGGGCTTTACTCTATCGTTGATTCTATTTGTATTTGACTCTCGTTGTACTAAGAAAAAAAATATTTTTGGACAAAAATACGGCAACGCCACTGGCATAAGAAAAAACTCTCTTTATGAGAGTCCCTTCTGTAAAATCGAACCACTTCAACAAATAGATATTTTCCTTTCTGTGAAATAAGACAAACGAAATTACAAGCTTTTAAATTGAATTTCACTTTACACAATGGCTTACAAACCATGAAGAAGCCGAAAACTTACTGAAACCGAACAAATAACTCTCGGGAGAGTTCTAATTTCACCTCCTCTCCCCCCTCCTTATTCCTATTGTGATAGAGATATCAAAGTTGTAATAGTTCTTGCGAAGTTTATACGAAGTTTCGCGAGCTTTCTCGAGGTGGCAAGGTGGTTTTAATTGAAATATTCAATCGGGGAATCTTTGATTGAGTCGAATTCTTTCGTGACAATCCATAGAACAAGTACTTTTACTCATTGAAAAGACTTCTCGGTTTTTTGGCCACTAGAAGAAAATCTACAAAATAAAATACACTCACCGGCACGGAAAACGGGCACCTTAAAATTTCCATGTATTATACAGGGTGCTTCAAAAAATATGTGTCATCTCTCGTGGGGAGATTCCTCACGTAAAAATAAGATTTATTTTTCATATCAACATAGATCCGATTCTGCTTTGTTTCCTAGCTACAGGGTGTTAAAGTCTTAATATTTTTTCGATTTATTATAATTTTCTTCCAAGTACTTTTAGTGATTCGAATGAATTTTTGAGGGTAAAAGTTGCTATAAGTGCTACATATTTTAGTGCTAAAAAAGTGTCGATAGATTCATCAGCGACGTGCATATGGGTTATCACTGGGATATTTTTCAAAAAAAAACATGTGCGCCACTGACTTTTTTGTTATGATATCAAAGCAAATCAAATCTCCTGATATTTTTTCGAATTCGGCCTCCTTGATGAGATAAACGCAATTTTATCAATCAGAATTAATAAAATTAAAAGAATATAAAAATTAATATTGTACTCTTTTAGAGTATGTCCCGTTTTTTTCAGATCGTATAGTGTTTTTCGAGTTAATTGCGGATAATTTAAAACTTTAAAACAATAATAGATTAAATAATATCAAATTTACATTAATAACTTCAATATTGGCGACATACCTAAATCGTTCTCACAGCAATAAATGGAGTGAACAAATGAAGACTACACGGGAAAAATCAAATAATATGTCACATTTTCATAGAAATTAAGATAGCGATACAACTTTATAGACAAATGTTAACGTCATTCGAGAAAAAAGAAAGCAATAATACGCTTAGTCCCAGAGATATTACAGCTTGGTTATTTTGCCGTACAAAGGAAAAAACAGAGTAGTCCACGCGTAAATGGCAAAAACCAGTTATCAATTAGTTACGCATGGGCGACAAGCATGTATCTTGTAATTAGTATTATATGTTACAAATTATATATTATTATATAGGATCCTATATCTCCTACGCGGAGCTAAGGGCTTCAGTGAAAGCTCTCCATCGGGTTCTATTTTTGGCAGTTGTTTTTGCTTCCTTCTATGTTGACTTTACTTGTTGAAGCTCATCCAGTATGGAACGTCTCCATGTTTGAGCAGGTCGTCCTTGCTTTCTTTTTCCGTGGGGATTCCACTCCAACGCTGATCTCGCTATATTACTATCAGGTTTCCGCAAGGTGTGACCTATCCAACCCCATTTTCTTTTGCGGATTTCAATGCCTACTTCTTGTTGGTTTGTAAGATGAAGCAGGTCGGTGTTGCGTATGGTGTCTGGCCAAAAGATTTTAAGTATTTTCCGCAAGCAGCGATTGATAAACACCTGTGGACGGTTGATGGATGTTTTTGTCACTCTCCATGTCTCGCAGCCATATAATAAAACTGGTATGAAGTTGGAATTGAATATTCTTAATTTTGTTTGTCTGGAGAGTTGACGGGAGGTCCAAACTGATTTTAGTTGGCCAAAAGCTCGCTAATACGTAATAAAAACCTACTTAAATATTGTTGCGAGCCGGTGTGGACTCGACCTAACCTCACAATATGGCCCGCCCTCGGATGACCTTAACATCGCATAGACACCGCAATGATTCATTCGTTCGAGAAGAATCGAGACCCACTAGAATGGACGCGTACATACGAGAACATTCGAAAACCTTCTCTATGCGCCTAACGATCTTAGAATTGGTAGTAATATATATTTTTCTAATTATTCAACCGAAAATAACATTTTTCTTTAAAAACACTAAATTGCATTTTTCTCGACTCCAATTAAAATGGACAAAACTGGGTATTCCCGTGTAGTCTTCAAATGACGTTGTTTTGGAATTTATGGATTTATACGAAAATGAGCCCTTCATATGGATGGCCAAACATAAAGAACGTAGAAATCGTATTGCAGTGTACAGTAAAAGAACTTAAAAAGAAAAAAGAATCACTAGCAACGACAATTTAGGGACGACCGGTATCCATCGATGCGACTATACTGTTTACTTGCCAAGGATTTAAACAATGTTTGTGCTGGCGTACTTGTTGAAATGGACACGTCGCCGTCGCCGTCGTGTGAGCGCCACACTTGCCGATGTTGTTTACAAAGTGGGGACTGGTGGGGGTACTTGCCAAGACTTGTGTCTAGCCCAGCAGGCAACTATTAAGCTCGACCAATCACGTTTGAGTTTTTGACAAACACAAATGAATTAACACCCTCCAAATAACAACGCTAACCAACCTGATTGGTCAAGCTTAATAGTTGCCTGCTGGGGCTAGACACTTCTCTTGCCAAGTACGCAAATATTGGCGTACTTGCCAAGTAGACGAGTCGTGAGAGTGTGCCTTTAGACTTGAATCAAGGCAAATTAATAACATTGCCTTTATCTCATCAAGGAGGCCAAAATCGACAAAATACACACACCGGAAAAATCTAGGGATATAATTTTATTAAAGTTAAAAATAAATGTTTTGAATAAACAACCACATATTTGTAGGCCGATTCTTTCTACTTCGATTGAAACGAAGTAGTCACACTAGTTATTTCTAAATTTGGGATATTTGCAGAAGTGTTGAAAGTGTGAAATTGCATTTTTTGTCAAATGTATAAAAAGCGCCTAGCATCAATTGTTCGAATTTAACCTGTACTGGCTATGTTTTTATGATAACTGGCCAGAATTCATTCAAATAACTCTGTTTAGTATTAAACGACATATGGGGTGTAGACATCTTAACAGAGACGAAATGCTAAGGGCCATGGGTACGCTCGAAGCTGGAATGCGCCAAATATACGTAGCTAGAGCATTAAATACAACGCAAAGTGTAATATCGCGATTAAATGCACGCTACCGTGAAAGTGGTGATGTTGCTGAAAGGCACACAGGGCGACATCGCATTACTACCCCTCAGCAAGATCATTTTTTAAAATTAAATGCTCGACGCCGACCGACTCTTACAGCACCAGAGCTTAGTTTAATTTTCCAGGAAACACATAATGTAACCGTTAGTCCTGACACTGTTCGCAATAGATTAAGAGAGGTCAACTTAAGAAGCAGACGCCCCTGGAGAGCTCAACCCTTAACGAGAGGAAATCGAGAGGTACAATATTTGTGGGCTCAAGATCATGTTAAGTGGTCGAATGAACAATGGGCCAATGTTCTCTTCACGGATGAGTCACGCTTTGGAATTCATCCGGATTCGAGAAGACTTAGGGTATGGAGAAAACCGGGAAATCTTATTCGGTTGGATCATGTTCAGGAAGTGCACCCTTATCAAGGTGGAACAGTTATGGTCTGGGGAGGAGTCAGTTAGGCCGAAAAACCGATCTCGTTTTACTTGAAGGGTTTCTAACAGGAATCACATATCGTGATTTAATTCTGGAGCCTGTCGTGTTACCATATGCCAATGATTTTGGGAGAAACTTCATTCTCATGCATGACAATGCACGGCCTCATACAGCCAGAGTGGTAAGTGAGTTTATCAATGCTCATCAATTAAACATCTTACCCTGGCCGGCACAATCTCCTGACCTCAACCCTATCGAGCACGTATGGGACGCGGTCCACAGAAGAATTTTGAGAATGGGTATGCCTCGTGAAACTCGTAGGGATCTGGTTCGGGCCGTAAATGCAGCGTGGCAGGCTGTACCTCAAGAAGAGATCGACAACCTGATCAGGCGCATGGAGAGACGATGTAGGGCTGTAATGAACAGTAGAGGAGGCTATACCCTTTATTAAGTAAAAATGGTTTTATCTTTTTTTTTAATTCACAGTTTAGAAATAAAAAAAATGTGTGTATTTTTTTGAGTTCAATAAAAATCAACGTAATTTTGAAAAATTCGGTAAATTTCGCATTTTTATTTCCAATACGTCCTGTAAACTATTTGTTTATTTTAATTTTATTATATCAGGAGTGCAAATAATAAAATTACTGACGATGGCTGGATAAAATTGTAATATCCCTAGACTTTTCCGGTGTGTGTATTAAGAGACAAGTGACAATTTAGACAAAGAAAATGTTATAGGACAAAACGGAAGAATTGGGTTTTTAATTATTTGAAGCAATACTACGCCAGATTTTTAACTTATTTCCCAATAAATACGTTTTGTCCGAGCACTGCACTGGTGTATGTCCGACTACTGGCATATTCACCCTAATCAAAAACTAATGATAGAGAAATTTGAATTAACAATTATTCTCCAAATACCAATAATTACTCAAATCAACGGTGTATTGCAAGCAGATTATTTATTATTTATTTTCAGTAAACTGGTAATTTATAATCCGAAATCCTAGTGAGATTGGAAATTATTTCTGTGATTTATCAACGGCATTACTGGACTAAAGTTTGAGAGGTATTGTTTACTTTTTGAATAATCCGTATTTAACTTGTTCCTTATTAAGGACTGCACTGATTGTTTTTATTGTTAGTAAGGATAACATTTTTTTATGATTCTGGTAAATATAACAAAAGAAAAATAAAATTGTCATATAGGAGTTTAAATCTCTACAATTCGTGACATTCTCTAAGGTATTAAAAGAAAGCTAAAACATTTACAACACTAAAAACATTTTCTTTTTTCATTTTATTTTCAGTGTGTCCCCCATATATGTGTCCCTAATGGAATTTTTATGATACATAACAAAATATATATCTGAGCTATTTTTCATAGAAACAACTGTAATGTATATTACAGTGAACAAAAATTTGCTAGTACCGAAAGTACCGAAAAAAATGGAAATCCCGGTTCATAGAGGCATGGTATACCGAAATTACCGGTTCCGAAAAACAGATCCGGTACGCTATAACGTACCATAATCGTGTATCACCCTATACAGGGTGAGTCTCAAATAAGTGCAAATATTTTTAGGGTTAATATATATTTTGGCCCTAGAAATATGAGGGTTTGGGGCTGTAATGTATGACAAAAATAATGCTTTGTATTTCTTACACGTATACCTACAGGGTGTCCCAGACTGAGTGTGCATTAGAAGTTTCTAGAGAACTACAATATCTAGATCGGAGATTTTTTGCCCATTTTTTTGAACAAAGTCACAATATGACATGGCCAGATTTATTGTTTTACATATATGACATGGCCAGATTTATTGTTTTACATACATCATCACTTGACGTTTAAAGTCATAGGCTACTCTTTAAAATCAAGAAAAATATACGTTTTGTTTCCATTTGAAAAAAAATGATTAATGATAATTTTTTAATCGCTCAATTGCATGACAGCTGCAGCCATTATTATATGACATTTGAACAATTTCATTTTTAAAATAGATAGCCACATATCTTCTCTTTATGTCACAGTGCCTGTGGAATCACTAAATTTGACTTTTAGGCTATAAACATTTTTTTGACAGTTGGTTTTTTTCGTCCAAAAATTTTAAATATTTTTTTTCTCAAAAACGGTTAATGTTAGATATAGAGTCTTTAAAATCAAAATTCATAAAATTTTACAGAGAATTGAAGTATGTAATAAAAAATGGGGGTACCCATTTAAAATAAGAAAGTTGCTGTCAACTTCCGGTATCTCCGGAAGTGCCGCCATATTGAAAATATTTTTAATCGATAGATCTCGCTGAGAAACAATGATATGCAAAAAATCTCCGATCTAGATATTGTGGTTCTCTAGAAAGTTCTAATGCACGCTCAGCCTGGGACACCCTGTATATTCCTTTCCGCTAGTTCGTTGTACATCACTTTAGTTTTTGCTAAATTCATTTTGAGACCCACTCTATTGCTGGCTGTATTTGGTTCATGAATTTGTGCTTGTATTAGTTCTAGTAATTTGTTCTTGTAGTTTTTTTGTTAAAGAACACAGATATAAAGTAGAGTACCTACAGATTGTTATCTGTACTATGTTTTTTTTATAAAAAATTTCTCCAAGGTCTCTGTCTTATTCCTTTGCCGATTTACATCGTTTTTACAAAATATAAATATAGCCAGACAATGTATCGGAATTCAATAAAACTGTTTATATCGAATCGTCTCGATCAGATATATTCTCGTTGAGAACCAGCCAAACAATCTGGAATCGAATCTCAATCATATTTTCCTCTCGCCTTTCCAATATCTATTTGTATTTTCTATATTTTTACTGCAAACTATTTGGTAAATTCTAAAAGCAAACAAAATTCTTTATTTTTGTTATTTGCGTTAAATCAAAGGTACGTTTTTTTATATGTTTCTCCAAATGGCTGTGAGAAAGAGAAAAAAATATACAGGGTGAGTCTTAAATAAGTGCAAATATTTTTAGGAGTAGTATAAATCGAGCCGATTGAGATTTCTTTTTCCCGACATTTTTTTTTGAAAATTTGCAATTTTTTGAAATTATTATTAAATTTACAACAAAAAAAACGGAAACAGTCCAGTGGTTCTCAAAATTTATGCAAAAAATCTGGAAGTTTTAATGCTTCATTTCTCTAGGCGTTTTTAAGTTTTTAAAACCAAATATTGTATTGGAGTTTTTCTATTTTACTTTATATAGAGTGTCTAAAAATTTATATTAAATAATTACTAGCTTTAAATGGCGATAACTTGTTTAATTTAAATTGAACACCCTGGACATTCGGTTAAAAGATGCTGGAATCGTATTTTTAATCATATATTAATTTCTTAAATGGAAAAAGGGTGGCTCATTAGTATATTTGGAAAAAGCATTTTTTTACGAATAATTTGGTAGGTACCATACACTTGGTATTTCGAGTCAAACTGTCGTTATGAACCGCATGTCACAATTTGAAATAAACCATGTCAAAAGAGTTAACATACAGGGTTGTTCACCACATACGACACGGAGTATTGTAGCTAAACGATTAGATTTTTACAAATTGTAAGTTTTGGGTTCGTTGAAGAACTATTAGAGCTACAATTTAAAAATATGTTTACAATATGCAGAGTGTCCCAAATAAGTAAAAAATATTATAGTTGTATTTTTTTAAATGGAACACCCTGTACATTATTCTATTTTTAGATTCTACGATTAAAATAAAGATAAATTTGATTAAGGTTTATCACACTTAAACCTTACCGTTTTTGAAATATTCTCAATTTTATGAAATTGCAGTAAATATTTTAAGGCTTCATTTCTCAAAGGGTATCAAAGTTTTTAATACTAAATATTTACTGAAGATTATTTATTGATCAGATATTGTGTTGCAATAATAAAAATTGTACTACCTTATACAGAGTGTCCAAAAATTTATATTAAATAATTACTAGCTTTAAACGGCAATAACTTGTTTAATTTAAATGGAACACCCTGTATATTTTACGTCAATCATATGCACAATTTAATTGTCTATCAAATTGTATTATATCGTTTTTTACCCATCTCTTCAGGTTTTCGTAGAAAATGCATTTTCTTATAATTTAGACCTCATTAATCACTATACCCATGGAATATTGACATTTTAGATTAT